TATTTTCACAGTGGAGGCTTGTATTTCTAATAAGTCGTCCTAAATTAGGTCCGACGTACAAAACGTTAGGAACTTGGAAAATAAGAGTCAATGGCGCAGCAATCTGGTTGTGATGGTTGGTACTTCAAATGTTCGAATCTCGACTGACACGCTCAACACCATTCTGCCAGACTTGCCACTGCTACTCCTACTTATTATCTATGGGAGAGTCCATTACAATAGAATAGGTACTATGGCATAACATACAGAAGCTGGAGAACCTCTAAATTCCCAAACACAGTCTTAAGTTGAAGTCAATAAGCAGAGTGCTTAGGCAACCCAAAGTGCAGAGAGAGAGAGAGAGAGAGAGAGAGAGAGATGAGACAGTGGTGAAGAGTAGATGAAGGTGCTACTGAGATCCGCATGACTTGCTCCTGAGAGTATCCCCACCTTTGAGTCCTGTTCCAAGAATTAGCACCAACAGGCAAAGTGTCACTAAAGAGATTTTAGTCGGAAGGGTTAATGTTATACAAGGAACTACATAAACCAAATCGAGAATTAACCCAAAGAGTCTTTTGTCTGTGAAGATATTTCTATTTTTTTTGCTTTACTGTGGTTCGAACCAGTGCTACAATTACTGACAATACTCAATTCCCACCAACTCTGTGATCAAGAAACACAATGTGGACAGAGCTGGGTGTGGACCAGGACAGCCAGCAACCAACAGCCCATTGACCAGTGACAGTATCACCTAAGCATGAAATTTACCATGAATCAACTTGTCATCCTATGACTCTGAGTGCCAAGACATCTTCTGGTAATAGGCAGCATATGGCAAGGGGCATATCATCTGATCACTGCTGATCAGGCTGATCTAGGATCAACTGGGGGCAGTGGTGTTTTTTTATACTCATCCAATTTTTAAGAATGAGTTAAAAGTAAAAGATTTTAGTTCTTAGTAGTTCCTTAGTAAAAGTTTTTAGTTCTGTCCACATGTTTTTCCATGCTTAGGAATAGAGAAAAATGCTTTTCAGAACAAGGTATTAAGCAATTGAAAAATGTCCTCTGAAAAAAAGTGAGAGATTACTGTATTGTTATGTAATGTCTAATCTCTTAACTATGACTAGAGTATGTTAGTCCTGTGTATGATAATAAACTAAATCTGCCAAAAAGGCTGCTGTTTGGGAGACTAGAGGTTTTGAGGAGCATGGAACAACCTCTTAGTTGCTGTTGTTCCCAGATTCAACCTGACCCAGGGTGGTAGCACCTGTTAGGGTCCCAGCTATGGGCAAATAGTGAACCCCAAAACAAAAAATAAAGCACTATGAAAGTATAAAAATATATTTTTATAGTAAAAATAACAGCAATACATTTTTATATAAAAATGACCAACAACAAATATTTATTGTAAAATGTCTAACAATAAATATTTATAGTAAAATGACTGACAATACCTATTTATAGTAAAATGAGTGACAATAAATATTTATAGTAAAATGACCAACTAGAACTATTGATAGTAAATTGACCAACAATACATATTTATAGCAAAATGACAAACAATAAATATTAATAGTAAAATGACCGATAATACCTATTTATAGTAAAATGGCCAACTATACCTATTTACAGTAAAATGACCAACAATACATATTTATAGTAAAATGACCAACTATTCCTGTTCATAGTAAAATGACCATACCTATTTATACTAAAATTACCACCAATACCTATTTATAGTAAAATGAACAACAACACATCTTTATCGTAAAATAACCAACAATAAATACGTAAAATACATGACAATACCTATTTATAGTAAAATGACCAACTATAAATATTTATAGTAAAATGACCAACTAGAACTATTGATAGTAAATTGACCAACAATAAATATTTATAGTAAAATGACCAACAATACCTATTTATAGTAAACTGACAAACAATAAATATTTATTGCAAAATGACCAACTATTCCTGTTCATAGTAAAATGACAAACTATACCTATTTATACTAAAATTGCCAACAATACCTATTTATAGTAAAATGATCAACAATACATTTTTTCTGTATGTGAAGATATATTTAGATTTTGAAATTAGATAACCCATAGAGGTCGATATGCCACTAAACAAATTCAACCAACCAACCAGAGTATGTGAAAAAATTAGGTAGTTTTAGAAAGAACAAGAACTAGAAAGAAACTACTGTATGCAATCAGAAAGAGACCTCTAAAAGTTTAGGGACATATAATGAGGAAAGAGGGCTTGGAGCATTTAATGCTCACAGGGTAAATTGAAAGTAAGTCAAACTAGGGCAAAATGATGAGGTAATAAATATATCAAAAGCAAAAAAAAGGGGTTCATAAAGGAGCAAAAATAACTTAAAAACTGGGGGGGGTTGCTATGCAAATAGAGAATATTTCCAGTGTACCTTTCTCCATTCAAGGGATTATTATATCCATGATATAGTCACAACTTAATACACACACACTGAAACACTTGTTAAGCAATATTGAGCTTGGTCAGTACCTAGATGAGTGACCACTTGGGGATATCAGGTGGTATAATGAAAAACAGCTCGGAATTGGAAATCGGCAAGCTAAGTTCCAATTCCAGTTGGGTTCATTACATTCACTTAGGCACAAATACCTTTGGGAAACATATAACTCTACCTCTCCCCCCAGCTATGGGTTAATTAGTAGGTCTTGTATCAGTAAATCATTATTACCGTGAAAACAATTCTTACAATCTGAAAATATTTTCTGTCTTTAAATAACCTGTAATGATCCCCAAAGAGGCTGGTATGTGCATTATCAGGTTTAGTGACCTTGCTACTTAGTAATAGCATAGTAGCAATAATATTAGGGTTAAAAATTTGAGGATAATTCTATAAAAATATAAAAATAGACATTTATCACACATATATATATTTAGATATAATTTCTTTGAAGGGAAACAACCAGGCGTTCTTTAATTGCTGCTCGTCTAAGAGGCAATACGGTAAATAACTACTCCCTGCTACGAAGTCTGAAATTCTCCTCCAAAGTACTGTGTGTCTATTTACCATTTCTTTGAGTTCCAAATTATTGTTTCTGTTTGAAAAGTTTTTTCTTTGCTTGTGTATTTGTTATATTCCGTACTAATAGGCATATATACTTGAAAAACACAGTGGATAGAATAAGTAAAGGTTTATTGTAAAAAACCAGTACAATAAGAATAAAGGTAACAGTTATGCACAAGGGCATTGCAAGTTAATCCAGTAGTGAGTGCTACTATTGGAAGGTCGGTAGTTCTCATGTAAGTCTGAGTCGTACTCAACAGATCCCGGCTAGATGGTATCTAGCAACTGCCCTATGCAGTCACATGTGGCACAAGGCTGAATTTAATGTGGGGTTCCCGAGCCCATAAGCTCAGCCAAAAAATTCCCATAGGCCCCGCATAAATGGGATTAGGTCTGTCTACCTCCCCGGACAAGACTCTGCCCTTCAGCATGGCCTTGTCCGGGTTCCTCTCTGCCCAAAGATTCCAGCTAGGCTCTTGTAGTCTGTTGACTTACAGATACTTATAGGTAGTTACTACCTATAGTGTAGTCACTCATGGTGGTGACAAGTTATTCCATTACATCAGTATTTCTTTGAAATGTATTTTGTTTGTCCAATTCCCCTCTTGAAAGGTATATTTCTTATTTGTTTCTAGTTTTCTAGTGTATTTCCTAAATAAAAAGATATCATTCTGCAGTTAGGTAGGAAAAGTGACAGGCCTGTGGTGTTGTTTATGTACCTGGTGAAATAGCATGAAAGGAGGCACGATGGAGTAATGGAGAGCGACTTGGATTGAGAAATTGGAGGGTCAAGTTCAAATTCCAGCCAGATCCGTTACATTCACTTACGTGCTAATACTCTTGAGAAAGATATGAGTCCTCTTCTTCTTCCCTCAGCTACGGGTAAATAGCAGGACAGACCGGGTTCTATAGCCTTAGATAGCACTGGTCTACCACAGAAAGAAATGGCAACCTACTGCGGGAAAAAATCTGCCTCGTCAGTCATGTATCGAAAGATACATGATCACCTAAGTGTGTATCATGCATGGCACATAACTGACTGACTTTCCAGTCAAATCCATTACATTCACTTACGTTTTACCTTGGGAAAGGTATGAATCCTCTTCTTCTCCCCCCAGCTATGAGTAAATAGCAGGACAGACCAAGTTCTATAGTCTTGGATGGCAACTGGTCTACCGCAGAAAGAAATGGCAACCTACTGCAGGAAAAAAATCTAACTTGTCAGTCATGTATTGAAAGATATATGATTGCTTAAGCATGTATCATGTATGGCACATAACTGACTTGGATAGCATGTGGTTTCCTCTGCTCTCTTAACTGCCATGAACAGTCATGTCTTGCTTCTCCACTGTCTACATAGCAACTGGAATAGGCAGACAGGTCTTGTTTCTATGCATGCTAAATAGCAACTGAGGTTTTGTTACCTCACAAACTGATGTTACTTACTGGCCATCATACGACCCTCATAGATGCATCTTAACCAAAGGGAGATAATCACCATTTACATCTTGGCAAAGCAATATAGAGTTTATAATTGCAAACTCCAAATTTAGAAATTCAACCAAAAAGCAATAATAATAATTTTATCGTAGTCTAAGTAATCTTCTGCCAGTACTTGAAAACAGACATTGATTTGATGAAATCCAATGTTTCTTGTTTTTGTTCTTTCCTTTCTAAGAGTCAACATGTGGTGCACACTTGTGCAGACATGTTTCTTTTGAATTCACAACTGACTTAGCAGAAGAATTCCCACAGTATACTGGTTGCCAACCTGGGCAATAGAACCCAATCTATCCTGCTATTTAACCCATATACGGGGGACAAAGAGATGGATTCATAATTTTCCCAAAGTTATTTGTGTGTAAGTGATTGTAACAAACTCGACTGGAATTCAAACGTGGTTCTCCATCTTCTCATTCCAAGCTGTTATCTATCACACAAATTCCACATCCAAGGTCACAGCACCTGGTACTTCTAAGCAGTTACCCGTCTAGGTACTGAATAGGCTCAATATTGCTTAACTTTGATGATTGGATGAGAACCCGTGTTTCAACATGATATGGCTGTAATCTCTTGTTCTAGTGGCAAAATAAAATTCTTTAATTTAGTACTGTCAACTCTCTCTAGTCTGCAAGATATCTAACACGGAATAGATGTTTCAGTTCCAAACTTATAAAATCCTGAACTTATATATAAACATGAGAGAATATTTTAAATAAGAGAGATAGAAATGTAATTTTAGAAATGTCAGTGAAATCATTTTTAAATACAATAGTTACAATTTCTATGCAAATAGGATGCAAAAAAAAATTTAATTCAAAGGTCAGGATGTTATTATGTTCCACATGACATTTTTATACAGCAATGTCAGGGTGATTAACAACACGAGATTTTTCACAAGGACTTCAATATGTTATAGAGTCTGCTTAAATTATAATATCGGCAGCATAATGATGAAGAAAGTATTTATTTTATACAACAAAAAGATGAATATTAATCTCATAGATTAAACATTATACAATGAAAATCAGAGATTAAAATTGAGATAATGACTACATATCAGGCAATAGATTTATTGATCAGCACATACATACCCACACATTTCTCTCTCTCTCTCTCTTAATATATACTTTAAAAAGTACACATAAATGTATATTTAAAGTTAAAAGCTCTACATGTTATTTTTACTTTTATTTTATTTTTTCACACATGTATTAAGCACTTTTTAATAATACTACTTGTTGTGAATTCCGAGATGAAATTCGGTCTCCAATGAATGACAGACGCAAGAATTAAATATAAGGAATAAAATGTATTTACACAATAATACAAATGGTAATACTGTTAGTAAATCCAGGAACGCCGTTAGTAGCAATAACATATAGATATATACAGTCTCGAAGTAGGACTTCATTAGAGTCTACGTGCTTGTAACTGACTTCTACAAGTGGTTACCTCACACTATTACTCTACCTCCAACTCAATCACAATCTCAGTCTTCTTACTATCTCACCAATCTCTGTATTCTGACTGACTCTGGGTATTTAACGGCAGCAGTCCAAGTAACACTTTGGTCGAGTCCACTTATATGAAAAAGGGGAGAACCCCATAACACTACTGTTTCCTGGTCTAATTCAACACTGACCATTAACATTTTCTATATATATATATATATATATATATATATATATATTTGTGTGTATGTGTGTGTGTGTGTGTGTGTGTGTAAATAAAAATTATAACATAAATATGTTATAAAATCACTACAAAAATAGCCATTTTGTTTCAAAACTTTTGGTGTCTTATCAAGTGATGGTGTTGAATGTAGAATAAAGTGTTTTAAAAGGTTCAAATCAATCAAACATCCCTCACTAGGGGAAATGCTGTTACGCAACACTTTCAAACTTGAATATTTCTTAGTAAGTGTATTGACATGTCTTTGTCAATGTACCTGTGTGTATGTACGTGTCTTTGTCGGTGTCTGTGTGTATGGTCACTTGTGTGTATCTTTATTGTGTATGTATGTTTTTTTTTTTTAAAGGGTTGTGGAGATATTTCCTGTCTCATTGCTTTTTTGTGTGTGTATATATATCTAAATACATCTGCGTGTTTATGTATTATAATCTGTTTGTGTATGTATTGTCTTTTGCAAGATGTCGTCCTCCCCTGCTTCTGTTTATGATTCAAATATATCTATGTTGTCATGAAGTTCAGAGCAACATTTGATCTTAACGTTTATTCCAAATTAATTTCAATAAAAACAAAATAAATAGAATAACGTGTATTTTTTTTCTTTTTCCTCAGTAATTTTATAATTTTAAACTTAATATAGATTAAATTTAAATTTTAAAATGGGTAATTTTTAATTTCAAATTTTATCATATAATTTAATATTTATTAGTTGGAATAAATTCTATTTTACTCTAACCCCAACATTAAAGCATTAAATAATTATTATAACCTTAGTTCGTTGTCAAGTTTTTTGAATTCTCATACCCTTTCTTTTGATTGGTCATTGCAGCTTATGTAACAGCGTTTCCCCGTTTGATCGATTTTAACCTTTTAAAACCCTTTATTCTACATTCAACATCATCACTTGATAAGACACCTGAAGTGTTGAAACAAAATGGCTATTTTTGTAGTGATTTTATAACATATTTATGTTATAATTTTCGAATAAATAATTATATTTGCTCTACTCTGTATTGAACACTATTTTAAGAATAGTATTTGTTGGTTATTGGAATTTGTTCCGTATACACCAACCCTATACTTATATATATATATATATATATATATACACACACCCTGGCTGAGTGGTTAGAATGTTCGCATTCTGACCATAAGACTTGGGTTTAAATCTCACTATGGTTTATTTGTCAAGAAGGAGCCTTCCTGATGTTATCGAACTGGAGGGGTTGTTCCCAGCGTGCGGCACCTTTGGAAAGTACCTGAAAACTGTACGACAGGTTGACCCAAGCCATGTGAGTGAAATTGGGTAGACAGAACTCTTGGGGGACCGTCGATAGCTATGCTAGCATGAAGTCACAAGTCATTGTAACCGAGGGCTTGAGCGTGCTGGCCTTGTTCAAATAGATAACATGCTCTTTCCTGTGACTTTTCTATAAATATTTTCATGGTAATTGATTGGATGAACTTTCCTCTATGGTACCTAGACTTTATGAATTTAAGCAAAATACAAGATTGGAAGAAAGGTTTCGTCTTATCATTTTACAGTTGAATGGCTAGATTAACTGTAAGTTCTATGCTAACAGTTTCTTCTATCACACTTCTTATTTGTGGAACTCTATTCCAGCTTCTGACTTCCCAGTCAACTTTGATCTTCAAAAACTAAATGCAATGTTAATCATTATCTTCTGTTTTCTTAATTCTTGTTCTTTTATTGTCCTCTCTCATCAATAGTAGTTTTTTCTCATATTCCCTAACACTCAGTAACTCCTTGTGTACTAGTGGCTTTATTGCCTTGTTTCGGGTGAAATGATTAAAAAAAAATTAAATAATTTTAAAATTAAAGGAAGAAAAAAATTGGTGTTGATATGAAAATGGCATTATTATATAATATTGTATAAAAACTTGGCTACCATATTTCATTCTTTAAAACCTGAACAGATTTTTAAAATCACACTTAAAAAGTAAAAAGAAAGTAGATTCAAGTCTAAATAATAACAAAGTACCATGATAATAATCAAGTTCTCACTGACCGGTACCTTGGCCTAGCTACAAGTTTTGCAGGAAGAAGCTATTTCAGTGAACTTACTTCTCATTAAAAGTCTTAGCTGTGAGAGTTAAAGTTGGTGGAATTAAGAAATGTAGCTCATCTGAACATTTTCCATTGAAATAGCAACAGAGTAACAAGAGGCTTGCAACATTTCATCTCTGGGAAAGGGGCTGTAGAATGGAACATAATTTATCACCCACAAGGTTGCATAGATGCTTTTGTACTATCAAAACTGGAAAGTGAAAAGTGGGCCAACTCCAACCCAGAACATGCCAACAGTATTCCATTTTTGTCCTGATCTGGTTCTTGTAAAGGTAGAACATAACATCTTGCAACATTTCATCTCTGGGAAAATGGTTGTGGGGTGGAAATAATTTATCACCCACAAGACTGTGTAGATGCTTTTAGACAATCAAAATAGCACTCGGAAACAGTTGCAAGATCCAACTTCTTTGCTCTGAGAGTGATAAACAGATGGAACTCTTAACATAGTGATGTTGTGAATGGCATCATTGGCGGTTATTTTTAAAAAGAAACTGAGGATTCTGTTCAAATTAACTGAAAGTCTATTGATTAAGTCTATGAATCAATCACATTCTGTTAAAGTGTAAAATAAAAATTTTATATAAAAGTGAAAATAATTTTAAAATAAAAGGAAGAAAAAAATTGGTGTTGATGTGAAAATGGCATTATTGTATAAAAACTTGGCCACCATATTACATTCCTTAAAGCCTGAACAGATTTAAAAAATCAGAAACAATAAAAAGAAAGTAGTTTTGAATCTAAATAATAACAGAGTACAATGATAATAAGCAAGTTCTCACTGACTCACTATATGTGATGAAAGATAAATTTATTTCACAATATGGGAAAAGTAATTTATTTTGTTCACATGAAATGGCTATGATTCTTTTTTTTAAATCTAATAATATGTGATATTTTTCTGTTTAAAAACAAATCTTTTTACAAATATAGAAAAATTTAATTTGAAACAAAGAAACTGTTACATAATATCAGACCTCCTATAGCGCAATGGGTAATTTAGATATAAACAACTAATATAGACATTATGAATGACCTAGCTTCCAACTTAACTAATGTATTAAGAAATAGGAAAATTTTGTTTGAAACAAAGAAAAGTATTGAACTGTTATGTAATATCAGTCCTCCTATATGGCAGTGAATACTGGACAATCTCCTAACAGATGAAGAAAATTCTTGAGGCAACAGAAATGTGGTTCTACAGAAGGATAATGAGAATATCATGAACTGAATATATAAGCAACAATAAAGTTTTAGAGAAAATGGAAACAAAAAGGACACTTATACTTAACATCTGGAAGAGACGGTTGACATTTCTAGGGCACATAATGAGGAAAGAGGAAAGAATTTAATACACACAGGATGGATTGAAGGCAAGCATGATAAAGGAAAACAACACATAATCTACCTGGTGAGCTTCAGTTAATAGATGGTGGAGCAGGAAAGATAGCGAAAAAATTAAAATTTATTGAGAGCTACAAAAGACAAGAAGTTGTGGAGAGCCATGATCACCAACATCCTGAAGGGATACAGCAGCAGCAGAAGAAATAGCTCATATACCTGGTTGAAACAAAATAAATGGCCATTATGAGTTAAAAGTTTTAAAATATTATAGAGCAGCTCAAACACAATTTTATGAGTCAAAGATAGCAACATTGGAATCGGTCCCCATCCCATTTTGACCAGATCTGTATTATTTTTCCAAAACTATTTCTGCCATTAATTTTCAAAATAATTAAGAAAACTTCAGTACGTAGGAGATCATGGCTCTCCACAACTTCATATT